AATAATTGATTTATAAGCAAAAACTCTGCACACTTTTGCAGTTTAATCTATAATTTATTGGAATCAACGATTGCGGAATTATCAATTGATAGCCCTGAAAACCTGACCACGTCAACAGTCTGCTGTTATTCAATGTGACTGACCGACTCAGACTGACTGTCTGTCACTGCATATCTTTAAGAATGTGTTTCCCAAATACGAAATCATTTATGTATAATTAATTTAACTGGCTTTTATGCAATCTAGTTGCATGCTTCAACTGAAAAGAATCAAAATTAATAAACAAAAGAAACTTTATAGAATAAACATGATTCGTCTCACTCTGCCCATATATATATATATATAAATATATATATATATCATTTCCAGGGCCTATAAAAACTGCGTGCAGTATTCAATCAAAGCGTCGACAAATGCATTAAGTTGTCACAGCAGATAAAGTTATTAACGTCGTTAATTAATTTAATGAAGATAATTTTCCCCATAGAATGCCCCTACACTCTCCATCAAATCGTTGGCCTTTTCATGTGGAGCGCCACAAGAAATGTTTGAAATGTTTCTTGGACTGCATGCGATTCCAACTGCAGCTGGTTCGTGGACTGAGGGAGTGAGATGGGTGGGTTGGGGAGGTAGGGGAGGTAGGGAGGGTTTCAGCAGTCATTAGTTTCTATTACAAGTAACGCGAGTTGACTAATTGCCTGGGTCTGTTTGTGGCCAGGCTCTGTCGAAATCCATTTAACAGCCACACAAATGGTTATAAATTGCAAATATATGGAAAATACGAAATGATTTCATGCCGACAACATTTTATCAATGATTTATGATTAGCGCTTAGAAACAAAACCTAAAAAGGTTTTTGTGCCACAAACAACAGGAACTGCAATTAATAATCCATCTGGAAAATATTAAGTTTAAGGAATAAGCATTAATCAGATTTTGCACTTTAGATTTTGTAATGGATCTGCAACAACATAATTAATAAATATATTATGTGAATAAAAAAAAAGCAAATATTATATATGTTTACAACATTTATCAAGTAACTCTGCAATAGTCGAGAGAGCACGACGAAGGACACCCTGAACCCGAGTCTTTATCTAAAATAAGTCATATAATAATAATAATAATGAAACAATTCATTTGAGGAATTTCTTACATAATATACTCTAGATCCGCACTTGTTATACGGAAGTTATATAAATCAAAATTTAATTCTTTGGCTCTGATTGTATCTGAGAGAGCGACATTCATACGAACTGACATAGAGACTCGACTTTTTATGCTGATCGAGAATACATATAATTTGCGTAGTCGGAAATGCTTTCTTCTGGCTGTTATACATAATTGCACAACTTCTTAATTTATTTTTAATGACTAAAAAGTAATAAATATATCCCAAAAAAAACTTGAAAGCTTGCTTATCCGAAATATATGATAAAAAGGTAGAAAATTCGATGTATGTAATCTGATTTTTATTTAATTTTAAGATCCGTAGAAGGACTGATTTCCATAGTCAACTTGCAGATTCTAATGATAAGTCTGATGAGGGTTTTTCTGTGCTTAGTCAATTCCCGTAATAAATCTTGAACTATTTTCATTTTGTTACCAACAAATTTATCTGATGCTTTATATTATTATATTTGTTATTGTGGACTGATTGACTTTTAGTGCACATTAAGTAAATAAATAAAATTTTAAAAATATATAAATAGTTGTTTATATTCATATTTGCATGACCTTAGCATACCCATTGTTTACACATTTAGAATTGGGTACAGGGTATTATTATAGGATGCCCGTCAATCAACATCGGCTACTTTCTGCTATCTGGAATCGGCAATCAGAGTGCGGTTTGCTCTTTGGCTTCTGCATAAGCCAATACACTCCCAAGAAGCTATAGACGCTGTCTTATCTTCGCCAGTTGAGCCAGCTTGGCAACCAGCATGCCAAGCAGCTGATAACACAACCCGCCACCCATTGAGGAAATGTCATTTTAGCATTGTTTGATGCATTGCATATAAAGTAGATACACACACACACACATACACACACACACACACACACATGCAAATACTTGTATGCATGGACAAATTAAGAGAAAGATCGCCACGCAAAGTGGAAGCCAAACGCGCCTTTTCCTGCCTTGCCAAAGTTTGCGATAAAGTCAGAAGTGACAATGCTGCGGGCGAGTGAGCTCGACTACAAGATACCCAGCTGTTAGATATGCATATTTGTATATAAAGATTCAATCTAAATTTCTTATGATCCGCGCAGAAAATGAAGAGTAAAATAAATATATATATTTGCAACTTCTGCAGTTGATCAACAATTTGTTAAATATTAATTTTAAATTGTGGCTTTTATTGCTATCGCAAATCGATATGTATCGATATTCGCGTGGACAGTTATCGATCAAATTAAATAAATTTGATCGCCAGCTTATATTCCACATTAAAGTATCTAACTCTTATAGTCTATGATAATATATGATCCTGATCAGCAATATATATACTTTATGCTGTAACATACTTTGGCACAAACCAATATACCCTTTTTAACCACTTTTAATGGGCAAGCATAAAATAAGAATAAAGTACAAAAGAACTGCTTGAATGCGCCGAATGCATACAAAAGATATGGCAACTCGGACTTCGGATATGTATGGAGAAGCAGCGAGAGATAGATACAGAGAGAGAAGGAGATAGAGCGAAAGAGGAGAGTGTAAAAAGAATAAAACAGAGAAAACTCTGAAGAAACTTTAATTCCAAATGGCGGCCAGACGACTTGGCGACTGGGCTTTGATAAAACGTTGAAAATGTTTGAATAAAACGCATTGAAAGACTTTCCAATAGGGAACGGAAATGCGGCACAGACCCACAAATGGGTTTGAAATGAGGGTAGGAGGAGGGGAAGGGGGAAGGGGCATTCTTCCATAGAACGTTGCATGCGTATAAGGCAAGGGCCTATTTATGCCAGTATCACAGGAAAAAGACATCAACACATTGCAACAGACACATTTTGTGGTGTTTAGCACATAGTAATAATTGTTATGTATTCCCATTGTGAATGCATTTCTAATCAGTTAGTTCCGGCAATTATTATTACTTACTTAGACATATATATACTTAAATCATTGAATAAATATCATTAGTCTTATAGATAAATGTATAAAAAGTACAAGTTTTTAATAAAACCAAGTCAAATAGTTTCTAGAATTATTACAAGAATATTATTATAAATGTATCAGAGAATAAATATAATATAAAGTTAACAATAACAATAATAATAATAACGATATTAATATTTATAATAATATATATATATATACATCTAAATCAGTTAGTTTCTGGCATTTTCATTAGAGTTATACAAGGTATATTAATATAAGGTAATCTAGAATTAAATATATAATAAATCTAATATGACAGTTGATGATTGTGAGACCTTTCACAGTGTGTGTGTGTGTGTGCGAATAGATTTAATCGATATCTTCATTAAAGGTTGGGCAATCCTATCAAATTTCCACACAAAGCGAATTTATTCAATCGCGCTGCGATTATCAAAGCAAATAACACAGACAAACATTTGGAACACAACCAATAAAGTCATCAAACCACTTGACGGACAAACAGACGGACTGAAAAGACAACAACAACAAAAAAGAAGAAGAAACCAAAAATATAAAATGCTTAAAATTCTGAGGAAAAATAAACAAAAAAAAAACGAGTCGCGACAGATTTTGAATGGGTTTTATCCGAATGAATCTGAATGTATCTGAAATTAGAAAAATTATGCTGGCGCCAGTCGTGCAGCCAATGAATGACAAGAGACGCGTAATTGGAAACTAAACTTGAGACATTTGTTTCTTTGTTTTATTATTATGACTATATTTTGTTTTTATTTTTCATATTCATTTTGGCCACAAATATCTTGAACAGAATTAGGTGGCATGCGCCATGTCTAAAATTTGGCACGTCGCATGCCAAAAAAAAAAAAATGCGTTGATTATTTGCATAATTGCGTGATTCGCATGCCCAGCAAATACGTGAATCATGTGTGGAGAATACAATACTCCAAAGATGATTCTATAGCCTGGGTAATTTATGATATAATATGCACTTGGCCAATCAAAAAGTCCCAATGAGTCAAGTGTTTGTGATTAGCCCATCATAGAACGATTGCAGTGCTACTCAAACTGTGGGTCAATGTCCCAACTGCAACTGCAACCGAAATGCAACAAATGATCTTGTTGTCGCCCTTGCTGTTGTTGCTGCTGTTGTTGTTGTTGTCGCGCGACATAAATCACTTGAAATACCGCGCGACCAAACAATGGGCATGGCTATAATATCAAAGAAAAAGAAACACAGATTTAGTTACTACACACACACACACACACACACATACATACATACTTTACCTGCTTTTACCTGCTTTGTTTCAAACCAATTCCCAAATGCCGTCGAAGCAAAATCGAAGCAACATGTTCGATTCGCTATGTGATGGCATTTCGACTGGTTGCAGTTGACTTGTTTTGGGTAATCAGATGGGAAATTCTTCAAATTTTGACTTTCATTTCGCTTAAACTTTAGATAAGATTAAATAACAGACATTTACTTGTTTATGTCGTTTGCTCCAATCTTAAAATCTAATCATAACAAAATTAACAAGTGATTAAATTCCATTGCTCACCCATTTTCTGTCGTTCGTTTTAATTTATATGAATAACAAAGTAAAAATAGGTACTTAAATATATTGGTATATTTAATTCAAATGAAAATGTAGATTAAAATAATGGTTTATGTGCAAACCGTATTTCCTGCATTTGGTTGCATATCAATAACAACTGCAGCGCTTGGCCACAGTCAACAAACTGAAGTTAAATACTGGGCATTTCGTTTGGTCTCGCAACTCGAACATGTTCGGCGGCAGCCGCATGCCGATGCATGCACAGCGGCGGCAAACCAGTTTTCTTGCGCACAGTCAACGACGGGCAGCTGGCGTGAACAGTTCGCAGATCGTAGTGCGCAGTACGCAGTTCGTAACGGTTCTCGGCTCGTCGACGGTCGCTCGCTTGCTTGGCGCTACCAGCAAATCGCATTGAAAATAAAATTTTGCCAAAATACTCAAAATTGGTTTTTTCATGCAAAACGCGAGGAAATGCGAAGCGAAACCAATTAAATCAAATCAGATAATTAATAAAGTATGTGTTAATATGACTAATCAAATGGTCAGCGGATATATTCAAAACAAACAAAATTTAAAACACAAACTGAATAAATAATCAGTCAAATGAAGTCAGAAAGCAAGCAAATCAAAATCAAACCAATTGCCACAACTGGGCCCAAACGCACTGAAAGATACTTTTTTTTTGTATCTGACGGCTTGCAATTTTGTGCAGTCGTCAATGGGATTTTATTTGTTCTTCCGTTTTCTTCTTGCTCGTTGCTCGTTGCTCGTTTCTCGTTTTGCGCGAAAGTAAAAACTACCTGCAACACTTGGCAACTAGCCGAGAAACCAGTTTTGTGAAAATGATTGGCAATTGTTTTGTTTTTGTTTTTGTTTTTGTTATTGTTTTTGTTTTGGTTTCAGTTGGTTTTCGTCATTTGTGTTTGAGTTTGTTGTTTTTTTTTTTTTTTTGTATTTCTTTCTTTTCTTTTGTTGTTTCTTGCTCTTTCATGCGACGGGCTTTAGCTGTTGAGATCCCCCCTCTTTGCTCCCCCATCCCCCTATTGAAATAATAACCAGAAATTTGCCCAATCAATTTGGCTGCTGCAAGTGTTGCACGACCATATTTTGCACTCTTTTTTGGCTTGAAATAAAGCCATATTTCAATAAAAGCTGGATTGAGTTGAGTAATTTGATCAAAGCAAAATTGTCTTCAAATATACTTCAAATAGATAATTAAACTTTTTTAAATTGTTGAAAAAAAAACAGAACTATTTTTGAGGTTTGAGGTTTCATTATAAGATTTAGAAAAGTCTCCTAAAAATTCCTACTAAGAATTAGAAAAATCTCAAAAAATTACAATCGAAACTAAAATATAAAATATGGAAAAGAAATATCAGATTAACTAAAATAAAATATTTAAAAATAACTTCAACATATTTAAAACAATTTTTGTAATCGCTTAGCAACCCAACTTTGATTAAATCAAAACAGAGAAATTTTTTAGAGAACCACAGAAATATTTGTTGATAAATATTCGTGAGATAAAGAGTAGACTTTGAGACATAAATCGAAAATAAAAGGCCAGAATTGGAGAGCTACGTGATTAATTGTTCCCCTTGTAATCCACAGTCAACAAAATAAAATTGCGTAGAAGAAGTGCGTGATTGGGCAGCTGCAGTCAAGTTCTAAAATACGACGATTCAAGTGCAAACGCCCCCCAATAACTTAAAAAAAAAATAAAATAAATAAAAACAAAAAACAAAGCAAAACAACACACATAAAATTAAAATGCTGATGCATACCACATCGACCACGTCGACGGCAACGATGACCAACTCATCCTCATCGGCGACGCCAACGCCAGGCTCAACGTCCTCCAATAATAGCGCCATGCTGGAGTCGCTGCAGCAGCAGCAGCAGCAACAACAGCATCAGCAGCTGCAGCAACAACTGCAGCAGTTGCATACAACAACAGCAACTGCTGCAAACAACTCTCGTCCGCCCTCGCGTGCCCCCTCCATTCTGGACAGTCCGACGCTGGCGCGTGTGGAACGCGCTCGTCTTCGACTGGAGCAGCAGGAGCGGGAACGGGAACGCAGCAGCCAACGCAGCTCTCAGGGGGGCGGCGGAGGTGGAGGTGGAGGCGGTGGCAGCAGCAGCGGCACAGGCAGCACAGCAACGACCATGAATCGTGAGGATAGTTTAGAGCGCAGCATATTGGATCCAAAGGTGAGTTCAGCTTTCCACACATAAATAAATAAATACATATATATATATATATATAAAGATATATGTACGTATATACTAGAATAAATTACAATTAAGTTTCTTGTGAGTTGTGTAAATGAAAAGATTTCTATGTATGCTTTTTCTCCTTCTGCTCACATGTAACTCAACCCAGCCAAGGAGTCCTTGAGTTGTGGTTGAAATCAGTGCGTTTGCTAAGTGGGCTGATTACACTGATCTGATTACTCAAGTATATGTGTAAGCCCGCTTGGAGGTACAAATTTTAATCAATATGTGCAATATGTTTAAGTAAAATAAATAATAGATTTCTTTGTATGCTTTTTACATGCAACCACAAACCATCGGAGGAGTCCTTGAGACACTCTTGGGTTGTGATTTAAATCAATGCGTTTGTTAAGTGGGCAGTCCAAACTGATTACTCAAGTGTTCTTCAAGGGCTAATCCAATATATTTGAAAGAAATAATTAAATAAATAAATATAAAATAGAAGCTGTAAAATAATATATATTTATATACATGTATACATAGTTGCGCTTAAAATAATAATTCGGTTTTTGGAATCAATTTAAAATGAGATTTTCTCTTTGATGAAGTTTAGACTCTTAGGAAGTAATTTACATTTAAGTTGCAACTAGACTAGACAAGTTTAGTAACATTGATTATCAAAATTATCAGAAATGCTTTTTATTTATTTATTTAATGTGGACAAAAACAGTTTTAAAAAAGATTATATGTAAATTAAAACTAAAATTAATATTACGAATTAAATTATATAAATTTAAGAAGTGGGAAATTACATTTAAAATTGAAAAAAAAAAAAAAATAAAATAAAAGATTTAATAAATGTAACAAATGTTTAGAAAATGTGTACTATTTTTTGCAATTGACAATGCTTATCTCAGAGTGCTTATCAATATAAATATTTTGTTTTAATTTTAAGGAAGAAGTTCTAAAAAAGATAGCGAAATGAATTATAGCACAGCTTTCAATTTTATTATTTTAAAGTTTTTTTCTTTGAGTTCTGGTAGTATGAAAGGTCTTCACATAAAGATTCTTTCGAAACAAAAAATTATAAAATAATAAAAATAATATTGTCTCTTTTTGCTACACTGATCTACAAAGAGAATTAAATAGATGATATTATTTAATTCTCTTAAATAGATGATATTATTTAATTCTCTTTGACTCGTCAATGAATCAACTTTCGATCTCAATTTATGCAAATTTTTGTGTGATACAAAATGAAATCTTTCTCAAAATCACAACTTAAATATATACAGAAATCAATCTACTTAATTCACTTTGACTGATCAATGACTGAACTTTCAGTCTCGTAATATGCATATTTTTGTATAATCAAAATCAAAACTGTCTCAAAATCTCAACCTAAGATTGCAAAGAAATCTTTCGCATTTGATTCAAGAGTGAAGTGAAAAGAGCAGAATAAGAAATTAGTTTACTAAACAATCCAGCAATGTTCCAAAATTATGCAATATATTATCATTCGGACATCCATTATTTCAAGTAGAGTTTGGAAATATGATAAAATGTTCCCTCGGCTCAGCGTATAACCAAGAAAATATTCGAAAAACTTTAATATCAGTTTTGGATGTGCCACATTATTCGTGGGCAGAGTCGCCACAAAATGTGAGTGAGTATTAAGGTCTATTGTTTTTTGAGCTAAAGCAAATAAGCCATTTGCACATTTGTTGTTGTTTCTGGCCCTGTTCTTGGCCTGGTCAGCTCCTGGTTAGCTCTTGACAGCATTTCACTAATGGCTTCTCCCCAAGCCATTTGTAGCATGTACTTGGCCTACTTGCTCTTTGTGTCTGTGTGTGTGTGTGTCTGTGTGTGTGTGAGCATGTAAATGGCTTTTATTTTGTTATTATTTTGTTAACACTCTTATCTGTGGGGTTTTATCTGAGTTGTTGGCATCATCATCTGCCGAGCATAAGCTCTTTAGGCATCGCTCGTGTTTTTAAATCCTTCTCGCCCAACAGTGTTGTGTTGTGGACTCAATTTTGTGTTCATTTTACTGTGTACTTTTGCATATGCCCAGCTTCCATTTCAACTTGGCCCAGCCAGGTAGCTCACAAACTTGGCCAGTCACAATTTTACGGCACAACAACAACAAACACAGATAATGAATTGCAAAAGATAGCCAACAACAGAGATACTACTGAGCTGAGTTGGCCCTAAGATGGATAGCCACAAACATTTACGGGGCAAACACCGCCACAAGTATTTTGTATTGTGTGTGTAATGTTACATGATCGATGACCATTATGAAATGTAAGTAGTGCAACTTGTGGCACATTAGATATCGACACACTAAAACTATAAATGGCAAACAAGCCAACAACTTTTAAATGGCGTGAGAAAATAGTTTTTAGATATCGAGCAATTTTTGGTTTTAAATTTATCAGTTTGAAAGATAATTTTAGTTTGATCTTTGTTAAATAAGCCATTAGTTATTAAGTTTTATATATTATAAATTAAAAAAGAGTTCGTTAAACTAATTGCAAAGTAAAGCAAGAGTGGAAAACATATTGTTATTTAATAAATAGAATTAATTGAGTAGCTTATCAAAGATCTTTAAGCAGATTTAAATGTATTTTAGCTTAGATAATTCTGCCTGTTAATTTCATGATTTTAAAACTCATTTTCAGTCTTTATAGATCGCATAAGGGCTAATTGACAATAATCCCACGCTTATCAAATTTTCAAGATTTTTCAATGAATAATTTATTGTATGCTTTACAGCCGATTCCATTTCCATAAATTAGTAAACATGGAGGCAACTAATAAGATAGAAGCAATCTAGTAAGTTTGACTTGGCTAATTTGAGGACTTAAAAAAGTCTTTCAGAACAAATGCCAAGAAAATCACAATTCTCTTAAGAAAAATCTTTTACGTAAGCAGTTTGTCTGACTAAACAAAAAGATACTTATGACAGCAAGCGTGCCCCAGTTGGTGATTATATAATTCTGATGTTGACTAATGTACTTCTTTGTAGCTGGATAAGTTTCTACCTCCATTTGTACACACATGCAATAGACATACATTTTGGGCTTTCAATTCCATTTGGCCCACAGCCAAAATTGACTGATTACCTGAAAAGTGTTTAGAACTACTTTGGTTACATATTCTTGAGCATCTTGCCGCAGACTCCGCTCTGTCCGCTCCGTTGACTCGTAACAAATTGTATGTTGAAATATTGTGTAGAAGCAGGTTGCCTGCATAATTTGCGCAGCTTCCTCACTCTTGCAACAGAATGTTGCCAAACATTTGCGCAGATGTTACGCAGTTGGTTGGGGCTGCTGTCAATAGATTGAGTTGGGGGTCTTGCAACTGGAAGCTGCAAAAGCTTCGAAGGTCGATGCATGTGTATTTTATGTTGACTTTTGCCAACTGGATTTTTTCTTTTTCGCTTTTTCTAGCGTTGCTTTAAGCCAAGTTTTTCGGCAACGACCGTAACTTTGGCAGGAGACACAAAATCAATGTTGCAGTTTTTGAGGTCATTTTGCTGTGAAGGGAGCGGGTGGATGAGGGAGCGACTTGGAGTTCGCTTGGTGCATTGAACCCAACTCAGTCTAACGTTTCAAGAGCTCAAGATATTACGACGAGTTCATAATTAGTCACACTTAAAAAGCCATTGGCCCTCAAAGTTTGTGCCCCGTTATTGGCCACGCGAAATATGAGCAAAGCCAAAGCAAAAGTACTACAAAAAAACCAGAAAAAGCAAAAACCAAAAAGGTGGTAACCAGAAACGTTGCCCAGAGACAAAAGACGGCACCAGAGTTATGAGTAGGAAGCGCCACGGCAATTCCAGATGGGGGACAGCAACGCACTCGAGCAGCTCACAACTCACAACTCACAGCTCACAGCTCACAGCTCACAAATGGAAAGCAAACAGCTGAAATCTCAGCAAAAACAACAAAAAACGTTAGACTGCTCCAGTGGGGAATTATCGACTGGGATACACCCTGTTAAATAAATATTTTGCCTATGAAAAACAAATATTTGATTCGTTAGTCTATGCTCAAAAGCGAGTTAAGACTTTTTGTTTTTTTGGAATCAACTTATATTTATTACTTTATTGAAAGATAATATTTCCATTTACATTTAAAATTGAATAGACTTTTTTGTCAACTTTATTATATATAAAATTTATTCATTCAAAAGATGACAACAGTTGCAAAATAGTTTAATGTGACATAAGATTGCAAATTAAATCTAGAAATAATTCGAAGGCCTTTTTAGCTAGTAAACTAACTAAACTAACTTTTAAGTATATTGTTGTATTATTATTTCAGAATAAAAAACACTGATAAATCGCGTTGATCTTTATATTAGTATTAAAAAGAAAGAAGATATTTATCAATAAATGTTAATAGTCCAACTTGATTAGTTCGACTCTGCTCGTAGAGCTAAAGAGAATCCAAATGATATAGATTCTTTGCAGCTGATGTTCACTCTGAATAATATATTATTTGTTTTGATGAATATATACATCATTTTTGTTCTGCTTCTTCAGTATACCCCATTTATCCGCTACTGACTGCGAACAGGGTATAACAAAAAAGGAAAATAGAAAAGAAAAGAAAAACTTGGTACGTGCTCGACAGCCATATGGCTGGACTTTGCCTGATAGTTATAGCGGTACTCGTACTCGACCCAAACGGACGGCCCAAAAGCGGCCAAACAAACGGGCAGCACAGCATGGACTGCATGGTCTGCATGGTCTTTTGGCCAGTCTCGTCTTTGGCTATAACTATGGCCAAGCCTCGGTGCACTCCACTGCAGTTGCCAGTTGCCAGTTGCCCGTTGCCAGTTGCCAGTTGCCAAAGGGCTCAAGTCGCGTATCTGGAGCAGAAAGCATGCAGCGCTATGTGTGTTGGGTGAAATGTATCTGAAATGAAATGAAATGAAATGCAATCTATGCCAATGCTTGTAAAATATGTTCAAACGAGCCTCGGCAA